CTCTCTCTCTCTCTCTCTCTCTCTCTCTCTCTCAGTGTCTCTTTGGTGGTCTAAGCTTATCGTTTTATTAATGACTCATTCAGACCAATCGCAAGTTACATTCCAAGTGAATGACAAAGCTCATTTTGTTATGGAGAATGCACTGGAATTAATGAAGCGACTGCTGCTCTTTTCTATCAATTTTGTCATGTCCTTGCATATTATGTAATAAGAATGCCTTTGAACAGATGTGCAATTCGTGTTTTCTGTCACTCTTTCTCTTTTTTTTTCTTTCTTTTTTTTGGGGGGGGGCACATTTTCTTCATTCTTGCCGGTGTCTGTGGTGTAACAGTTAGGCGCTAGGCTGTCGCTCGCAGAATACTGAGTTTGATATGTACGCACCCACACATATTACATGTATTATAGATGTACACTCGAGACCATTATATGACAGACAGGCAGACAAACAGTCACAGACAGACAGACAAACAGTGACAGACGGACAGGCAGACAGTGACAGACAGACAGAGAGGGTGGGTTACAGAGAGAGAAACTCGTTGTCAATGAGATTTATCATCAGCCAAACTATAATCGAACACATTTCTGCTTATTTGCCTGAATTACATGTAATATTATGATTCGATGGTGCCAGTGGCTTTCAAAAGTTCTCATTTTTACGCCGACATGTATTCTGTTGCTTTGTAACCTTCACCTTGCTGTGAGAAGTCAAGAAGTGGGTGATGGCGGGTGCTTTGGTGTTGTTTGCTCCTTTCTCCTCTCAAAATCTCCCCCCCCCCCTTTCTTTTTTGTGTGTGTTATTGTTACTACTCTTTAGTAAAACCTATAAATCTTCGGCACTTTATGATCTGTTTGTCCCGTAAGTGCCGTAAAACTCTTACAAAAACAAAACTAAATCAGAAGTCAAGATTCAGTTATTGCTATGTATTATCCCCTTTTTACTTTTGTGTTGTCAACTCCTCGGTGAAATCTTGCCTTGCACTCCCGTTGACCCGTGTTCTCCCCTTGCCGTGTATTCCTCAGCTCACTGTGATAGTCAAGGGCAACCCCGAGTGCACCTCGGCGAACTTCCAGACGTACCAGGCCCAGAGCAACTCTCTGCCCGGGACGTTCGAGAACGGTCACGTGACCTATGGTCCGTACGGCAGCCTGGAGTTGATCGAGGTGGAGCCGGGCCGGCACGTGGAGATCCACATCCGGTACATCGAGACGGTGGTGATCGTAAGGCAGATCGGCCGCTACTTCACCTTCTCCATCAAGATGCCCGAGGAGCTGGTCAACAAGACCGCCGGCTTGCCTGGAGACGTGTCCAATGACCTTGACCTCTGCGTCCGCGGCTGTCCGCTCTCGGAGCAGATTAACTACCAGGAGTACCTTGCTAAGCGTCGCTTCGCGAGGCCGTCTCAAACGCGCACGTCGGTTTCGTCTTCGTCCTCATCTTCTTCGTCATTGTCAGACTCTAGTGATGCTAAGTACAGCAGTGACGGCAACAGCCCGGGCGAGCCGTTGGTGTCCCGCGCGTACGCGGAGAAAGTGTGTCGTGCGTCCAAGCTCGTGGACTTCTACTTTGACTCGTGTGTCTTCGACCTGATGGCCACGGGCGACGAGAACTTCACGCTGTCCGCTCTGAGCTCCTTACAGGACGTGGTCAAGTTCCACCCGTCCGCCGCGCGGACAATGGACAACCGGACCACCCTGGACCTCTACGACAAACAGTATGGCAACGGCGCCTCCGGGCTTCTGTGGTCGTCTTCACAACGTTGTGGGTATTGCAGGACTGGTGTTTGTTTTGGCTGCCAGCGGCAACAGTGGACGCTCTTTCTATTGTGTTTGACGTTGTTAATCACAGCCGTGTGTTCTAGGTGAGCAGGATAGAATCCATGGAGACGATTGTGTAGTGAAGAAGAATACCTCTGATTCCTGTCTTTTGTGAGTTTGTCCACGTGAGTGATTAGGTGTCGTGTCCTATGGATGCTGTGTTGCGTGTTCTTGTCGTATGCTCGGAATGGATTACTGGATTACTACAACTCTTCATGGATGGATGGATACATGAGTGGGTGGAAGGCTGAGCAGCGGTTGTGACTAGGGTTCTGCTGACAAAGTCTGAGGGAGAGTGAGAGAGATTTCATGGATTCTTAAAAGTGGTTACGCGTCTTGTGATATTTGAGTTGTCGTCGTTTCAAGAAAAACTGCAGTTCATCGCTCTTTGCTATTTTTTTCAAATGATCTCGGACTTACAGACTTCACACTTGGCATGCTTTGTGTAAACACCTTCTTCAACAGTGCAGTCCCATCTGGAGGAAGGATGTTCACCTAGCGTCCCTGAACGAACTGAAATACATCATTGATGTATGTGTGGGGAGCTGTCTGTACTGTATATGTGCACATAAACTTCAATTAATTTGTCACAGTTACATGCGGGTAAATATGCACATTTTGGGAGGAAAGGAGGCCCAAAGTCATCAAATAAATATATGTAAACTTACAAACAACTTTTTGGGGTCTCTGAGAAAGAATTTGTTGAGGTGCGAGGGGGGGGGGCGCTAGGAGAAATACCGAAGTGACGTTGGTGTGATGTAAAATGCCTGCATATAAGATGTTTTTACTTTTACATTTTCATATTTAAATGGCACAGAGTATGTGTGTTAAGATGTACGGCATGGGAGTTGTGCATGTTAAGTTTCAGCGTTGTCGCTGTCTGTGGAGATTGGAGATTCTGGTATGGTGGACAGATGATTTCTGAAGGAATTCGGAATAATAAATCATGTTTTCAACATTGTCGTCGCCCCATGGGGCTGTTTGGTTATGTCCGTAAGAAGAACACGAATTTCTTGTTCACATGGATCTTTACAGCGAGCCTCATTGGTCAATATGTTTGGATTGGAGGGGGGAGGTATTTTTTTATGCTATGCTAAATAAGAAGAGAGTTTTTCAGAATGTGTTGGTGTTTGTTCCATTGATGGTGGTGATCTTTACGGGGAAGGGGGCGGGGTAGCTTTGTCTTTGTCCGGGTTGTTCATATTTTTAGGGTTTCAACGGTGTTCGCATTGACGTCAATTCATTTCAGCATGTGCTACCAGATTGGTCAGCACTTGTTGGGAGCGAGGGGCCACTTTGTTTATTGGCGAGTTATATTTGTTTCAGCGAGAAGGTGTCTCTCTCTCTCTCTTTGAAAAAAGGTCTTTCGAGTGTCTGATGGGATCCCTTCATACTTTCTATTACTGTGGATTCGTTTGTTTGTTTAGAATGGGTTTTTGTTTGCAAAGGTATTTTAAACGGATTTTATTAGAAAGGCAGGGGAGGGGGGGTCGTTTTCAGTGTAATAGTCCAGCTTTTGTCACCAGTAGAAATTACCCCCTCCCTGCATACGCACACACGTGCAGAATTTTCTCATGAAACACAACTCCAGTGCTTGTCATTTTTTTGTCATAACCGAAAGAGTGGGCTATTGGAACTAGAAACTTAACTCTGTGTATGTAAACCTGAGCCTCTGCGTAGGTCGTTCAACATCCAGGCTTCTACTGGGGGTGGATTAGGTATGTTTTAGTATTTTTATGCACTTTGCCGGCATGCAGTGAAAGACGTAAATAGCTGCTATTATGCTCTAATATTGTGATATAATACAGTGGCTGGTCATTGTGTGTGCTTTTCTATGTGACCTGAATAATCAATACTTGGGATATTGCATGGGGTATTTGTAAATTGTTTCGTTTTTTATTTTTGCCACACTTCTATATGAATAGGAAGATTGAACTGACAGCTGCATAGATTGACGTTAGGGAATAGATACCATCGTCTGATACTGGTGTGGGGGTGTTGAAATTTGTACAATTTTATATACACATTCTCTGTGTACGTTGTGTTTAGGTTTTTTACTGCATGAAAAACAGATGGAAACAGAGGTGTCATTACTGCGACCTGCAACATTTTTCAGCCCCAGGTGGCTGGTTTATTACAGTGTGATTTCTAAACGTAACAGCTAGTAATATTGGTGGTTTGATTTTTTTTTCAAATAAACTGTTGCGTGGGCATAATTTGTTTGAAGTTATAAACAGTGAGGTGTCTTCTTGCCCACTCTGCTGACGGTTCCCTCCATCTATGGCTTTTAATTGCCACTCTAAAGACTTCGTTTGCGCCCGTTGACTGTATTTGTGGATTTGATGAGTACTGCAAATGGGATTTTCGTGTTGACCGAGAATGTGCAAAGGGCAGAAATACCCTCTCCTATCTATTAGGACAAGCGTGTGTATGTTAGGAGCACTCTCTTAAAATATAAGACGCCAGTCCAACAGAATCCCTCACTCATCCTCTATGTGGTCCTGCAGAAGCAGATGTGCACGCGATGGCTAGGGTTGAATGGGCAAATGTACGACGTCACTGAGGTTTCCCTCTCGCTCGCTAGAGGAGCATAGGGCACATCCTGAAGAGACAAGAATGCTCTTTCCGACTGTGTCGTGCGGTGGCGGCTATGTGCGTCAAAACGAACAGAGCCCAAGAGATTTTCTTCTACTTCTACCTCGTCTCTCTATCTTCGGGTTGCGTTCTCGCCAGTATGGAGGAGAAATGCCTTTAGAAATATTCGTGTTTAAATGAATGTATTGAGCAGGTAACCATGTCGCCGGCGGCTCCAGGCTGGGCTGAACAGAGCACACAGAAGCCCACTGGGTACATCTCTTCCCCCGCCTTGTTTATCCCGTCTGGTGGCAAAGCTTTTAGCCCGCCTCCTGCCTCCCCGCTAATGTTCTGTCCCGATCACACATGGCCCCTTTCATTGAAACGATAAAGGTGAAGTTGCTTATTTTTCACGTTATAAAAGTTACAAAATGGGTTCCTTTAAAAAGAGACTCACTGAAATGTTTTATAGAGATTATTATATGGTTCATTGTGGGCTTTAGGGAGCCAATAGAACTTGTTGCATTGCGTTGAGTGGCTGGGGGGACTCTGGCTCCGTTTTGGCGGAGCAGTTTTTGCCTCGGAAGATTGTGCCTGTATGTGTATGTAGACGTGTGCGCAGCTGTGAATGTTGACAACATTAAAAAGCTTTGAGGGAAGTTTGTCTGCAGGCATGTGATTTGTTTACACATTATTTAAGAATGCAGTTGTGGCTCGCTTTAAAGGCCAGTGAATTCTTTGTTTACTTGTCTTTGACATAAATATGGTTGTCTTAAATTTGGATTGTTACGTTTTTTAAAAGCATTTTTATCGTCACAAAGCAATAGGGATGATATGTTTCTATTTTTCTTGTAAATATGCGATCAATACATGTTTTTTGTAATAATGTATTTTTACATTTGAAGTGACGAATGGGTTGTGAGTGAGTGTGTGTGTGTGTCTCTGTGTTTATGTGTGTGTTCATGATTATGTTTGATGTGCTATGTGCTGAAAATAAGATGTGCACTCTATGTGAAATGTCATTCGGTTGTGGTTGTGAGTTAAGACACAAATGCTCTAGTTAATGAGGCCAGGTCAAAAGATACTTCTGACAGTTCTTAGTGCTTCACTGTAATTGTACATTTGGTATATTGTTAGGTTAGGTTGGGAAGGGCTTGGGGTTTGTTTGTTTTTTTTTGGGTGGTTTTGCAATGAATGAAAAAGTGTAACAGTTACAGGAAATTGCACTGCACTAATTTAAAGAAAATACATGGTCGATCTATTTATCAGAACGTTTGTTTTTATCGACCAATACCAGCATGGTACATTGAGTTTTGTATCAGTCACGAAACTATATGTTGGTTATTTATTTTGTGTGTGTTGTGTGTGCTTTGTGTGAGCGCTTGCGTGTGTGTGTGTGTGTGTGTGTGTGTGTGTGTGTGTGTGTGTGTGG